TTGAAGGTTGAGGGTTTGGGGTTTAGGGTTTCATGTTTAGGGTTTAGGGTTTAGGGTTTACGGGTTTAGGGTTTAGGGTTTAGTTTAGGGGTTTAGGGTTGAACATATAATTGTCAAGGTTTGGGGCTTAGGGATTTCGGGTAGGCTCGGGGCTGTTGGCGTCAGATTTGATTGATAAAGCTTGGGGGATTTGGGTGCTTCGACTTGAGGTTTTAAACCCTGAACCCTAAACCCTTAAGGTTTAGGGTTTGGGGTAGCAAACCAACGTCTGCCCCAAGCCGAAAGCCTTGAACCTGAAGCCCTAAGTCCTGTTTGGTGTCATCAGCTGCCACTTAAGTCCAAACCGAACACCTCCCTCAACACCCGAAGCCCATCGCCCCCCAAACGCTGTGCAAATATGCCCGTTACCACAGCCCCGATTCCTAAACCCTGGCCTCTAGATCTTCAACTCGACCTCGCAACCCGTAACTGTTCAGGTTTAGGGTTTAGGGTTTAGGACCTACTTATACCTAAACCTCAGGGCACCGCAGCTCGAACCTATGGGTTTACTTCAGCACTGACCCCTAAATCCTGAGCCCCCCCAAGGCCCTGAACCCTCAACCCTAAACCCCAAACCCTAAACCCTAAACCCTAAACCCTAAACCCTAAACCCTAAACCCTAAATCCTAAACCCTTAACCTTAACTCCTAAACCCTAAACCCTAAACCCTAAACCTAAAACTCCCTAAACCCTGAAACGCGCGTGGGCCAGGGCCCGGAGGCCGCAGTGAAGAACGAGGAGGAGCCAGCTTTCTGCTGCCCATTTTTCCCGTTTTCGGGGTTAGGGTTTAGGGTTTAGGGTTCAGGGGTTTAGGGTTTAGGGTTTAGGCTTTAGGGTTTAGGCTTTAGGGTTTACGGTTTTGGGTTCAGGTGTGGTACTTGATTGGCTTCTGTCTCAATTTGGTGACGTAAGACCAACACCCGAAGCCCCTAAACACCAAACCCCTAAACCCCTAAACCCCTAGGCCCGAAACCCTAAACCTCCACCCTGGACCCGAAACACCAGACCAAAACCCTACATGCACGGGCCCTAAACCCTAAACCCTAAACCCTAAACCCTAAACCCTAAACCCTAAACCCTAAACCCTAAACCCTAAACCCTAAACCCTAAGCCCTAGTGCAGGCTTGCCGGTTCTCGCCTGGTCCTGGAGCTCTGGGCTTTCGAAGCAAACCCCCAAACCCAAAGCTTTATGGAAAAAACTAAGCGCGTGAGCCACGGTTTAGGGGTTAGGGTTTAGGGGTTTAGGGGTTAGGGGCTTAGGGGTTTAGGGGTTTAGGGGTTTCGGGGTTTCGGGATTTCGGGGTTT